TCCTCCACGGACAGCTTCCGGTTGTGCACGGGGTCGATGACGAAGCCGGTGGCCGCCTGTGCCTCCAGGAGCACCAGGGCCGTGCCGGGCCGCAGCAGCCCCTTCCACATGGCCTGGTAGATGCTCATCTTCTCCTGGTGGCCGGGCTGGCCCTTGGTGGGCACCAGCCCCCGCGCGATGCAGCTGGTGCCCTCCAAGTATCGTTTTACTTCTTCTTTTCCTTCAATTTCGGTCACTGTACTCTTCCCTTCCTGCAGGTCTACCAATGTCTTTGTTGAGATGATTTTGGATGCACACAGCTCCAGCCTTTATTTTTCCTGGTGTCCGGGCTGGCCCTTGGTGGGCACCAGCACCCCCGCGATGCAGCTGGTGCCCTCCAAGTATCGTTTTACTTCTTCTTTTCCTTCAATTTCGGTCACTGTACTCTTCCCTTCCTGCAGGTCTACCAATGTCTTTGTTGAGATGATTTTGGATGCACACAGCTCCACTGCCTTTATTTGTGTTCTCATACCTCTGAACCATAGTGGTTTTGTTGTTGTTTCCTTTTCTGCAATTATTTGTAGAATAAGTTCTACCACTGTTTGAATTGCTCGTGTCGTGTCTCCTTTGTATATTCTAACCAGTTCTAACTTTTTGTCCTCCGTTATATATTCTGAGTTCAGTAGTTGCCATACTGACCACCTCTGACCTCTGTACCTTCCCACCTTTATATCTACCCTCTCTTCCTCTAAGGCTCTTTTGGTTGCCTCATCCACATATGTAGCATCCTTTGCCTCCCTGATCAGTGGAAACAGAGTCCAGCCTGACTCCTCCCTCTGACATCTATTCTGAAGCTCATGGTAGGTGACTTTCTCCTGTGTGTTGGGGTCCACAAACCTCTTCTTCATGTGCTTCTGATCTGCAATAAACACATATATGTCCTTATGCAGACATCCACGTCTGTAGGCTGTTTCCAGTGGCAGCCGATGGTGATGCAGGGGATCCACTACGCCCCCTGTGGCAACCTGCACCTCCAGCAGCCTCAATGCCTCCTCTCTCTGAACTAACTTCTTTTTCATGGCCTGAAATAGTGGGATTGTCTCCCCTGTGACTGGGTCAGTGTAACCCTTGGCAGCTCTTTCGGCAGCCACAAGCCTTTCCTGCAGCTCTTTGCTTACCAGATCAGCTGCCATCGCCTCATTCACAGACAGCTTCTGGTGGGTGTGGAGGTCTAGCAGGAGCCCAGTTGCTGCCTGAGCCTCTAGCATCTGGGCTGCAAACCCTGCAGGGATCAGCTTTTTCCTGCTGGCTTCCTCAAAGCTCAGGACTTCCCCAGTGGAGGGTACAGTCACCCCAGCAATGCAACCAATGCCTTCCAGGTAGGTGTTCACATGCTCCAGCTGGCGGAGGTCCTGGCACTGATTTTCCCCATTGTGAATTGCATCCAGGGTCTTTTTGTCAATGACCCCAGAGTTGAACAGTTCAGCAACTGTTACATTCCCCTGGATGGCTGGCACACGGATGGCTTGGTTTTGCTTCTCCACTTCTTCAATAGTGGTGGTTATGACTGCCAGCAGTTTGTCTAGGTCCATGTTCTGGGCTCTGTATTCCCACACCAACTCTTTCTTTCTTTTCTCTGTGAAGTACTGAGAGCACAAGACCTCCCAGACAGACACTGTCTGGCCTGCAAACCTCCCCACGTGCATTTCTACAGTTCTGGACTGCAGAGTACGCCTTGTGGCCTCATCAGTGTATGCGTAGGTCTCTCCTTTCTTTACAATTTGTAGCATGTACAAGCCTGTCTCAGGGTCCTCCACACAGCGCTCCAGCAGCTGCAAGTAGGTGAGGTTCTCATGCGTGTTGGGGTCGAAGAAGCCCTTAGTGTCGTCACTAGGGTCTGCCAGGATGCGGTTCATCTCGTGGTCGAAGTAGCCACGCTGGTAGGCCACATCCACGGGCACTCGGTGGCTGTGCACAGGGTCGATAATGCCACCTGTGGCAATTTGAGCTTCCATCAGGCGGATGCCATGGTTACGCACGATGAGGTCCCTCTGCATGGCCTGGAAGAGTGAGATCTGCTCCCCATTGTATGGGTCAGTGTAGCCCGTGACCGCGCGCTCAGCTGACAGCAGCTTCACATAGGTTTCCCTGCTGAACATCCCAGCGGCAAATGCCTCCTCCACGGTCAGCTTCTGGTTCTGCACTGGGTCAATGATGAAGCCAGTGGCTGCCTGTGCCTCCAGGAGCACCAGGGCCGTGCCAGGCCGCAGGATATTCCTTCTTAAGGCCTCAGAGATGCTCATCTTCTCATTGGTAGCCTGGATGAGGACCCCAGCAATGAAGTTGCCTCCTTCCAGGGACTGTCTCACACTGTCCATCTTTGTTACCTCTTCCACTGTTCTCTTCCCCTGAGTCAATTCATCCAGGGTCTGCTTGTTAATGAGCTGAGACCTGAACAGGTCACTGGCTGACAGCTGCTTCCGGAGTCCTCTGAAGGTGGTCTGCGGGGCCTGCTTCTCTGCAGCCTCCACCAAAGCAGTGATTGCAGTGACCACCTGCCGCAGGGCTGCAGCTCGCCCAGACTGACAGAGCGCTACCAGCTCCTGACGTTTGTTGGCACTGATGTACTCAGAGCGTAGCAGGTCCCAGAGTGACACACTGTGCCCCTGGAACCTCCCCATGCTGATGGGCACTTTCATGGCCCTCAGTGCCACAGCAGTGTGGTCATCTACCTCAAGCACAGTGTCCTGGGGCAAGGGCAGGAGCCACAGGCCAGTGTTACTGTCCAGAACACATCGCTTCCTGAGCTGCTGGTAAGTCACCTTTTCCCTGGCATTGGGGTCAAAGAAGAACTTGTTGTCCTCCTTGGTGGCTGTCAGTGCCTGACTGGTGTGCTCATCTAGAATTCTAAGCCTGCAGGCCACTGCCTGAGACAGGTGTACCCCATAAATAGGATCCACTGTACCCCCTGTGGCCAGCTGCACCTGTAGGAGGGGGAAGCCCTCTATCTGGGGTACAAGCCCCTTCTCCATGGCCTGCCATAGTGACAGGGAGCCCCCCATGTAAGGATCAGTGTACCCAGCTACAGCCTTCTCAGCCTGCCTGAGTGGCTCACTCAGTTCTTTGCCCACCAGGCCAGCCTTGACCGCATCTTCTACTGACAGCCTTTGGCTTGTCAGTGGGTCAACAAGGAAGCCAGATGCCACCTGGGCCTCCAGGAGCCTCTGGCCCAGGCCCATGGGCAGCAGGCCATCCCTCATGGCCTGGGCAATGCTCACTTTGGTCCCGGAGGGCTGTAGCAGCACACCAGCGACACAACCTGTTCCCCAGAGGCAGGCCTTCACAGCAGGCAGCTCGGCAACCTCGGCTGGTGACTGTGTGCCCTGAGCCAGTGCCACCAGTGTCTCCTGGGTAATGATGCCCACATCCTGCAGCCAGACAGCAGGGACCTCACCTCTTGGGCCTGGAACTGTGACTCGGGTCTGGGCTAGGAGCTCTGCTTCCTGCACCTGGCTGGACACAGTGGCTTGCAGTTGTGGAACAGAGGTTCTCCCAACCCGCACATCCTCCAGGAGGCCCTTGCGCTGCTCCTCAGTAAAGTGGCAGGTGTTGAGCAGGTCCCAGAGAGATAAGCCATCCTCAGTCCCTGGTGTGGACTGCAGAGTCTCCTGGATCTGAGTGTCAGTGGGAACAACAGGAGCACTTTCTTCCAAGGGCAAGAGGTGAAGACCAGAGGCCTCATCCCGGGAGCACTGCTCCAGAAGCTGGGAATAGCTGGTGTGACCCTGGCCATCTGGCATGGGGAAGGTCTTGGGAGAGCTAGACAAGGCAGCCTCCATATCCTGGTCAATGCAGCCACGTTGGATGGCCACAGACATGGGGAGGTGGTAGTGGCCCGTGGGATCAATGACTCCTCCTGTGGATACCTGGGCTTCTAGGAGGCGTGTGGCCTGCTCCACAGGGATAAGGCCCTTCTTCATGGCCTGGAACAGGGACACCCTCTTCCCAGAGAAGGGGTCTCTGAAGCCAGTGACAGAGTCCTCAGCCCACTTCAGCCTACTGTATACCTCTGGCCCCACCACTCCCCTGCATACAGCCTCATCCACTGTCAGGGTCTCCAGACTGCAGGGGTCCATGATGGCTCCAGTGGCTGCTTGAGCCTCCAGCAAGGCCAGGGCCACACCTGGTGTTAGCAGCTTCTGTTTCATGGCCTGGTAGAGGCTGAGCCTCTGGTTGGAGGGTCGCAACAACACACCACTCACAGCACCCGAGCCCTGCAGGTACCTATGGACTCTATTCTTGTGGAAGAGGGTGTCTGGGCTGACCACCCCCTCCAGCACCTGGTCCAACAGCTCCTGGTCAATGATGTGGGCCTCTAGGAGCTGGTAGACAGTGACTCGGCCCCGCAGTGTCGGTAGTGTGATGTCAGCCCACCTCCTCATCTCTCTCTCCAGCAGTTGCGTGACCCACTTGAGTGTAACCTTGCACTGCTGATAGCGCTGCAGCAGCTGCCTCCTCCAGTCTTCACTGAAGTACTCCGAGTTGATCAGCTCCCACGCAGAAATCTTCTGTCCCCGGAACCGTCCATACCTCACAGACAGCAGTAAGTTCTGGAAGGTCTCCCGGGTGGCACCATCTATGAGCTGGGGCTGCGTGCTGCTGAGGGGCAAGAGGTAAAGGCCTGTCTCAGGATCTCGAATGCAGCGCTCCAGCAGCTGTAGGTAGGTGAGGTTTTCATGTGTGTTGGGGTCAAAGAAGCCCTTGGTATCATCGGATGGGTCCAACAAGATTGAGTTTAGCATTTGGTCAAAGTAGCCGCGCTGGTAGGCCACATCCACAGGCACACGGTGGCTATGCACAGGGTCAATGATGCCCCCTGTGGCGATCTGGGCCTCCAGCAGGCGGATGCCATGGTGATGTACAATGAGGTCCCTCTGCATGGCCTGGAAAAGGGAGATCTGCTCCCCAGTGTAGGGGTCAGTGTAGCCAGTGACTGCGCGCTCTGCTGACAGCAGCTTTGCATACACGTCAGGACCAATGACATCAGCCCTCAGAGCCTCCTTCACAGAGTATCTCTTGTTTCCCTTTGGGTCGATGATGAAGCCTGTGGCAGCCTGGGCCTCAAGGAGGATGAGAGCAGTACCTGGCCTGAGGAGCCTCTTGCTGCGGGCCTCATAGATGCTGAGGCGCTCCTGGGATCCAGGCAGTAGTAGGCCAGCGATGCAGCCTGTGCCCTGCAAGTACCTCTGCACGGAGTCCAGACTGCCCACATCCTTGGCTGAGGCCTGCCCACGTTCCAGCTGCTCATATAGCTCTTGGTCAATGATCTCAGCTTTCAGCAGCTCTGCTGGTGTCACAGTGTCCCTCAGCCCAGCAAAAGTGACTCTGGTAGTAGCTGCAGCCTGCTCAATGATAGCCTTCAGCTGAGCTGCCAGCTCTTCCATAGAAAGGGCCCCTTCCTGGTACTGCTGGGCCAATAGTACCCTCTGCTCTACAGGGACTGCCTCAGAGAAGAGTAGCTCCCAGAGGGATGCAGCCCGGCCCTGGAACTTCCCCACAGAGACAGAGGCTGTGGCTGCACTTAAGGCCTGTCGAGTGTGATGCTCAATGAAAGTGGATCCCTGGAGCACTTCTCCAAGGGGCTTCCCGAAGAGGGGCAGGAAGGTGAGCCCTGTCTCTGGGTCAGTGACACAGCTGGCCAGTAACTGCTCATAGCTCACACTGCCATGGGTGCTGGGGTCTGAGAAGCCTGCAGCCTGGGAAAGATGTTGCTGAGTCTCTTCATCCAGGCAGCCAAGGCATAAGGCAGCCTCTAGGGGTAGCCGGAACCTGCGGGCTGGGCAGACCAGCCCACCTGTGGCCAGCTGAGCATCCAGGAGACGCAGAGCCAGTGCCTGGTCCACCAGCTCCTTCTTCATGGCCTGAAAGAGGGGGATCCGGGAGCTGCTAAAAGGGTCATGGTACCCAGTCACTGCCTGCTCTGCCACCAGGAGCTGCTTGTGGAGCTCTGGGCCAACCAGGCCTGCCTTGACTGCCTCATCTACCCATAGCCGCTGGCCTGTGGCTGGGTCCACCAGGGTGTGGGTGGCAGCTTGAGCCTCTAGGAGCGGGAGTGCAGTGCCCATTGAAAGCAGGTGTTCAGTAGTAGCCTTGAAGAAGCCTTTCTTTTGGCCTTCAGGCAATAGAACAATGCCCACCACGCTGCTGGTACCCTCTAGGTAGCGTTGCACCTCAGGGCGCATGCTTACATCTGACACTGCCAGTGTGCCCTCCTGTAGGCCCTGGACTACCTCCTTGTCCAGGACTCCTGCTTCCAGTAGCTCAGAAACACTGGCTGCCCCTCCCAGGGTACAGAAAGTGGTCTTGAGGGACAGCAATGCCAGCCCTGACCCAGGGGCCTGCACACACCTGGCCAGCAGTGTGCCATACCGCAACTGCTCCAGGGTGTTGGGGTCAAAGAAGCCTGGGGCATCTGTGCTGGACACCAGCTGGGACAGACTAAGCCAGGTCTCCTGGTCCAGGAGGCCCTGCTGGCAGGCAACCTCAGGGGCCACTCGCACACCCTGAGTGGGGTCCACCAGGCCCCCAGTGGCCAGTTGAGCCTCTAGCCATCTCCACCCGAGAGTTCTTTCCACAACCTCCTTCCCAATAGCCTGGAAGAGGGACAGCTTCCCATCCCCATAAGGGTCAGGGTAGCCAGTGACTGCACGCTCAGCAGCCAGCAGCTTCTCCTTTAGCTCTAGCCCCACCAGGCCCTGCTGCAGGGCCTTGGACACAGAGAGCAGTTGGCCCTGGGTGGGGTCCACAAGGCCCCCAGTGGCTGCCTGGGCCTCCAGCAGAGCCAATCCAAGCACAGTAGGCAGAAGACCCTGCTTGGTGGCAACATAGATGCTCTGGGTCTGCCCAGAGGCCTCCACATACACTCCAGCAATGCTCTTGGCTTTGGTGCACAGGGCTGTCTCCACTTGGGGCCTGAAAGGGTTGCTCGCTTCCAGCCCAGCCTTCATGTTTTTGGTGACCATTGCCTGTTCAGTACTGCTGGTGACCAGGACATCAAGAGGAGAAGTCTGGCCATTCATTGCATACAGCTGGTTGTGCCAAACTCGCCTAAGGTCCACTTGTTTCCTGTAGGAGACAAAAAGTCTCAGTCAGGGACCCTGAGTAGGCAGGCAGATAGGGAAGACAGTCATGAGGTCAATTCCAGACCCTCCCCAGATGAAGCCCCGGAGCATGGCATGGTGGCAGAGGGCCCAGATGCAGCTTGCCTCCTGGGACATGGGGGGGGTGCTCTATGGCAAGGGGACTGTCTCTGCCCCACAGATCACCTGTGGATGGGTGACAGATGCTACTTAGCAACCTCAGTAGACTTAAGGGACAGTGTGCCCACAGGGACCCAGGATTGGCCAGCAGGCTGCCTGTAAGGGCTTGAGGGCTCTGTTTCTCCCCCTGGATGGTCCTCTGACCTCCGCTCCAGGATGCCAGGGTCCTGAGGCAGGGAAGTGGGGCCCTTCCTGGGCCTCTCATTGCCCCCATCCCTGCTGAGGGCTCAGTCTTCCCTGTGAACCCACTGTGGCCCCTCTGCTCCTCTGCCGTAAGACCCCAGTCTCTACAGACATGTCTCCTCCCCCCAATACCCACTGGTCCCTGGTTATCTGGCTCCAGGCCCAAGCACTCCACCAACTAAAGCTGCCCAGGCCTGTCCCCTTCTGAGTTAGGCTGGACCGGTTGCTTAAAAAAGATACGTCAATGTCCTAACCTAGAGTACCTGTGAAGAATGTGACCTTATTTGGAAACAGGATGTCTGTGGACTTAATTATGATGAGATCACACTGAAAGCGGCTGGCCCTAATCCAGTATACCTGGTGTTCGTATAAGTCAGACACATAGGAGATGGCCATGTGATAGCCTGAAGCCACGAGGAGCTGGGAGGGACAGGAAGAGCCCTCCCCCAGAAGCCTGTGGAGGGAATATGTCCTCCCATACCTTGATCACAGAACTCTGGACTGTGTTGTTTTTGGCCCCAGTCTGGGTCACTGTACACCCTGCCCCCATCCTGTGCTCACCTGCCTTGACAAGCTGGGCCTGCACCCTGTGTCCTCAGAACCATGCCCTGGTTCTATTGCTCCATTACTCTCAGTGCTACTGAACCCTTCCCTCTACTCAGAGGAGCATCTAGGACCCCACGGGCCCATTCCCTCTTTGCAACATCTGAGGGGTTGGTCCCACCTACATCCACCCCACTGTCTAACTCAACAGACACATTTTGAAACTGATAGTTAAGGACATGAGGACTATTGCCTTAGTGACAGGATTCTGCTTTGCCTCCATTTAGCAATAAAATCAGAAGGTCCCCAGCTTGCCTTCAGACCCCAAAATCTACAACTTGGCTCAGCGAGCTGCTCAGTTCTGCTTGTGACCAGGACATCAAGAAGACAAGGAGGGCTCCACCTGGCAGTCTTGGGTGCCCCACATCCACTCACACTCTGGCCCTGGATGGCACCAGGATTCTCCCCACAGCTGGTCTGGGGTGTGCCACTCCACACTGGTGCACCTCATTCACCTGTGTCTTCCTGGCACCTCATTGGCAGTCTTCCTGCTCCTGCTCCTTGGGCCTCCATACCAGGGGGCCTCCCTGACCATCCTTAGCCACCTCAGGGGGTCTCTGCCCTCCCAACATCATGTGCATGAGGAAGCAGCCTTTCAGCTGAGAGTAGGCTTGAGGGGAAGATGGGTTTATCACCCAGTCCGTGATAAGCCAGCACTTCGATGTCACACAGTCTAGTGGGTGGACAGATGTTACGCAGCTCAGGGAGGGCTATGGGCACACAGCTCCACAGTCAGTCCCTTCAGGAACCACCTCAGCCCAGGGAACTTCCTTTCTGGGGTGGCCAGTGATAGGCTCAGTCCCTTTATATGTCTTAGGGTGACTCTCAGGGCTGTCACAGCTTTTAAACACCTAGTCTATCTAGGGACAGACTACCCCTGAGACTGTGTCCCAGTCCCCAGCTTTGCAAAATCCTGCCTTCCCTTTCCTTCACTTTGGAGCCTCCTGCTAAATACTCTTAAACATCATTGCTAAGACCAGGCAGGTACCTTGACAGGGCCAGCAGAGTCCATCTCCACTGCCTTCTGGTGGAGCAGACAGAGCCCAGCCTCCAGGAAGTGGTACAATCTTTCAGCTTTCCAAGAGGGGCATGGGGTACAGTCTAGAGCAGTGGAGAGGATGCAGAGGACTGTAGACAGCCTGATGGGGACTGTTTCTAAGCAACCAAGCTTCAGGAACAGATCACAAAAGGCTTTGACAGCTGCAGGGATTTTTCTTTTTTGTATCCGGGATCGAACTCAGGTCCTTGACCTTACAAGGCAGGCAGTGGAGCTACTGAGCAAAATCCTCGGCCCACGGCTCTTATCTTGATAGGTCCAGAAATGATAGGCAATTCCACTGTGAGGGGGCCCAAGACCAAAAGAGTGAACCTCAAAATGGCTGGTCCATCTAACACACTTCCTCAGGAAGAGGCTCAGGGCATCCCTGGAGGCACAGTGTGGCCATGGTAGATACAACTGTCCAGACCTGCCTTAAGGGACCTGCCCCTGCCAACATGCCACCACCTCCTCCCTCATCAAGGGCCATCTTGTGCCCTTTTCTTAATCGCCTGTTTCAGACTCTACTTATTGAATCTGCCCAGGCACCTTTGATGCCCATCTGTACAGCGCTGCCTCACAGGACCTGTGAGCCTGAGGGCCTCACACATGGTGCTGTCCAGCCCAGCTGGGTCAGGACTCATCACAGGCAAGAGGGCCACTGGTGTGGTTAGGGCCAGATGCCTGTCCTCTGGCCTCTGGCTACAGAGGTCAGCCAGCTCACTCCCCAGCAAAGGTGGAACACAGGGCATTGGGGCCACAGTGAGAAAGGGTCAGTCAGGTGGACATGGCCTTGGGTGGCCCTTGCCCTGAACACAGGTAGCCAGCTGGACAGGACATGTGCAGAAGGGCAACACTTGGATGAGAAACTAGAGGGCCAAGGTAAGCTTGGACAGTGGCTCTAGTTCCCTGAACAAAGGAGATTCAGGAAAAAGCCTGCTGACCCAGAGAGCCTCAGCAGGAAATGAGGTGAGGGGTGGAGGGCTCCACTGTGAGTTCTAGTGTGTTAGGTTCGGCCTATGGCTGGCTGCACCCTGTTGGTTTGTGGGTGACCTTGAGGGCAGGAATCTTGCCAGGACTTGCCTCTTCCCAGGCCACCACCAGGATGTCTATAGCCTGGGGTGGGAGCCTGGCAAGGTTGCTGGACAGAGACAGACTAGGGTGTCTAGGGACAGACTAGGGAAGCAGATAGATGGACTGGGTAAAGATCAGTGTTCCAGAGAGGCGGCCACTAGCATAAGTGAGCTGGGTGTGTGACAACAGGGCTGATAGCCTTCAGGGCTTGGGGTCAGGAGGTGGAGATTTCCCTGGCAAAAGACATCCAAGGAAAGCAGACCCCTCCTGTTTCCCTGTAAGGCCCTATCAGACGGCCCCCAGGTGCCAAAGGGTGGAAAGGGCATTACTGAGCTGGGTGGATCCATATCATTGGGGTATGAGCCACCATCCATCACCACCCGAAAGGATGGACCTCCATTCTGGCTGAGAACAAAGTGTCCCCAAAGTCAGGCCAGAACAGAACCAGGAGGCCAGGCTGACTGGGTCCATACCTCTGCCTCCCTGAGGACATCTAGTAGGCTTCACCCACCTGCACCTTGCCCAAGCAGACAGAAAACAATAGCCCTCATAGGGGTTGGCATGAAAAGTCAATGGGGGTATGGAGGCAGAGACTCTCCTGCCTCTCTTTCCCAGTGGCCCCTGATCCAGAGACAATAGGGAGCTCCTCCACAGGCCAGCTCCACCTCCCTGCCCAGAGATGCTGCCAGGAGCTGCTCTCTCAATTTGTTAACCTAATTACCTCCTGCCTAGGCGCCCTGACCAGCTCTATAGATGCCTCCTTCACAAATGAAAGTGACGGGGTGGGGGGGGGGGGTCGGGTTCCCCTGC